GTGAGAGAAGGGCGGACGTGCGAAAAGGGAAAGATACATGAATGATTGAGTGTTTTTCTTTTTTTTTTTTTTTTGAGTGCAAAAGTTATCGGAAGGAAAACCGTGACGAATATCCGGAAAAAAAATCCCTCAATGTCGACCTGAAGTTTTATTCCTCACGTAAGGAGATGGAAATCCGGTTCTCTTTGCTGAAAGAACCATGAATAGGGTGCTAGGCCGGTGCTAAACTATTTATAGGCCTATTCCATCACTGCCCAAAAGCGACCCCGGTTCATAGGCCTACATTTCTATTGCCAAATGATTTTGCACTAATTTTAAGCAATATAAAAAGGATTTTTTTTTTTTTGATTAATGCTTGCCGCCTCTTTACTGGGATTTAAACACCACCAGCCATGTTAACTCCTATCGAGGGTGTGAATCTGTAAGCATTTTGGGAGGCTTAGGAATAGGAGTGGAAATTTATTTATTTTTTTTTGCTTTTGGAATGTAGGAGGGATATTTTTGGCGAGGGAAGATGATATAGATAATTCTGTTTGGTGTCACACAGGTAGCGAACATTGCGATCACTATTTTCCGTGCTGGTTAGCCTATTCAAGGTTTTCTAACTGTTGATCTGTTGTTGCATTAAGTTGCAAGTGAGCAGTTCAGGAAATGAGTAAAAATGTATGTTTTTTTTTTTTTTTTTTTTCCTTTTACAAAGTGATGCCTTCCTTTGAGACTGAGTCCTCATTACTCCTGTGAACAACCTTCGGGATTCTCCTGAGAACACACTAATGCCTTCGCTTAAACACAAATTATTCTTAGCTTGGCCTTTCCCCCAGACACTAGATCAATTACCATATTTCTCTACCGGGCATCACCCTCGGAACCCCACCTGATCGCCTTGGAATTATTCCTTAGATGGCGTTTGGCGGACACGTTTTTTAATATTCCTTAAGTTATTCTTTGCCAGCACAGGCTATGTGTGCTAATTTGTGCAATTTTAGTTTCTTCTTTCACTTTATGGCAGTGTCATTAGATTTCCCGTAGTATAGCCATTATGCTAGTGTTTGCCTAAGTATTACTTATGTGTTACGCAGCTTTCTTATTATCAACTTGCAAAGGAAATCCTGTAGTTGAAAAGTGTCATAAATTTTGTTTGTTTAATACAGGTAAAATTTTCCTTGCGCCATATGGCCTTGTGAAACTGAAACTATACCTGTTAATTAGGTTGTTTATTTTTTCCTAAGATAATATCATGAAGTCCTTGGAGTAAAGTATAAAAATTATTTCACAGAAACTGTAGTGATAGAAAAAAGTTGACTTTTTTATATTCGGGAAAGGATCTGAAAAGAGGGGAAAAAAGGAAAGAAAAAGCTGTAAAGGATGCTTAAGGCATTCCACTAGACCTAAGAAATATTCTCAGTAGGGAATAGTAAGGCCTTAATCATATCTCAGTCCATAAAACTCTGCCGTCACCTCCCGTCTTCGTGCTCTGGCGTAGGGAGGCAAACTTTCACCATATGGTTTCTGGAGAGATAAGGTACCATTCTGAACTCTGCCTTACTGAATATACGTAGGGGACATTTTCTGGTCGATACCGAATCAGAGAGCAGGATGGTACTACTCAGAACTGTTTCTGTCGTCTTGATTGCTAAGAAATTGTCAGAGGAGTCTTGATGTCCAGGTTCTTTTGTTTTTTTTTGCCAGGGCCCTCGCCACCAATGTCTGTGGTGGACATGTGGGGGCCTTGGAAATACTAACCAAGTGATAGAAAAAGCAAGCTGATTCCATTAGTAGACCATGTCATGAAGGGTATGGTATGGGTGAAAAACAACGAAAATGGGCTTTAAGGTTCAAAAATCTCATTTGTCACTCTTATTCCCAAGTAGAAAACTCTCCCTCCCTCCCTCCCCCTCCCTCCCTCCCCCTCCCTCCCTCCCTCCCCCTCCCTCCCTCCCTCCCTCTCCCTCCCTCCCTCCCTCCCTCTCCCCCTCTCTCCCCTCTCTCCCCTCTCTCCCCCTCTCCCCCTCTCCCCCCTCTCTCCCCTCTCTCCCCCTCTCTCCCCCTCTCTCCCCCCTCTCCCCCCTCTCCCTCTCTCCCTCCCTCCCTCTCTCCCTCTCTCCCTCCCTCCCTCCCTCCCTCCCTCCCTCCCTCTCTCCCTCCCTCCCTCCCTCCCTCCCTCCCTCCCTCCCTCCCTCTCCTCCTCTCTCCTCCCTCTCTCCCTCCCTCTCTCCCTCCCTCTCTCCTCCCTCTCTCTCTCCCTCTCTCTCTCCCTCTCTCTCTCCCTCTCTCTCTCCCTCTCTCTCTCCCTCTCTCTCTCCTCTCTCTCTCTCTCTCTCTCTCTCTCTCTCTCTCTCTCTCTCTCTCTCTCTCTCTCTCTCTCTCTCTCTCTCTCTCTCTCTCTCTCTCTCTCTCTCCCCCTCTCCCTCTCCCTCTCTCTTTCCCTCTCTCTCTCCCTCTCCCTCTCTCTCTCCTTCTCTCTCTCCCTCTCTCCCTCTCTCCCTCTCCCTCTCTCTCTCCCTCCCTCCCTCTCTCTCTCCCTCCCTCTCTCCCTCTCCTTCTTCTCCCTCTCCTTCTTCTCCCTCTCTCTCTCTCTCTCTCTCTCTCTCTCTCTCTCTCTCTCTCTCTCTCTCTCTCTCTCTCTCTCTCTCTCTCTCTCTCTCTCTCTCTCTCTCTCTCTCTCTCTCTCTCTCTCTATATATATATATACATGTATATATATACATGTATATATATACATGTATATATATACATGTATATATATACATATATATATATATATATATATATATATATATATATATATATATATATATATATATATATATGTATATCTCTATGTATCAATATGTAATTTATGCAATTGCTTTATTACAAGTTGGTACATTGTCATAATAAAAAAATTTACAGAGCCAAAAGCCAAATAATCAGCAAAAAAAGATCTGTAGCTGAATTTTAATTAGTTGTTAGATGATAAATATTTAGATCTGAGTGTCATGATGCAGTCAAATGGAAAACACAACTTGAAATTAAATTTATGATGATGTCTCTAAGTTTATGCCTATTGAAATGTGGGCTGGTTAGCAAATAATGACAGAACTGACCTTTGCAATGACCTGTGAAATATGATTCAACGTGCAGCTTTCTTATTATCAACTTGCAAAGGAAATCCTGTAGTTTCATTCATAGTCATTTTATTTTATTTATTTATTTATTTTTGGGTATTAATACATAATCACCAAACAGCGATTGCATTGGTCTTTGCACTTGAATTCAATATTGTTCCTTGCATGCATTCATCCCAATGACATTAAAGAAAATAGTCATTCCAAGAGTTGGGAGGGTTTGGAAAAGCCTCCCTGCCTGAAGAGAAATGCACCTGGGATGTTAGCACTGGGGTACTAGGCGTGATTGATGCCTCGTTAGTGTGTAATTCACTAAGAAATAGAGAAGGGATTTTGATGAAATGATTATAGCTGTTTGGATGTATTTGATTTATTATTGTTATTATTATTATTGTTATTGTTATTATTACTAATACTTATTATTTTTATTTATTATTTTTTTGTATGTTTGTTTTATGTTCATTTTATTTTTAGGTGTATTGCTTCTTGTTTTCATTTATAATCATACTCTATGGTTTGGAAAATAATTTATAATTTGGGGAAGCTACCGTTGTTTGAGAGGCAGCATTGGGAATGGTATTTGGAACCTCACTAGTATGCAATTCATTAAGATTTTTTCAGCGTAAGGATAGTTTTATTTATTTTGAGGATTTGATCATATACTTTTCATGTATGTATTTTTTATGTTAAGTTTCTTTGTAGGCCAATGGCTGCTTGTTTTTATATATAATGATTTTCTTTTTATATGATAATATCTGTACTTTTTTCTTTACACACAAATTATAGCTTATTATAGTTTATTATAGTTTGGTTGAGTATTGTTTGATTTTCATATTTGTGTTGTGTAATATTATTCTTAGAAAGTGATTACATAAGTAGAAAGTCTTTATTTTCTGATGAAGTTTGTAGTATATTCTTTTAAGAAAAATACACGTTGAATACTTTTTGGAGCTGACTTGTGGTCCTTGACACTGTTTATGTAAGTAAGCATCATTTCATTTCCCTGCCGTGCTATAGTGAATCATGTTTTGTAAGGGAGAACTGATGTGTTGCCAGAGTTTGTTAACACTCTGGGAACATTGCCTCTTCAGCATTCCACCACACCTCTGAGGGGGGGAGGGGGGGTTATTAAGCTCCAGACACCTGTACAAGTGAAGGGCTGCAGGTGTTGTGGGGACGACAACGAGGTGGAGAGATTTGTGTCTGGCATTTTGTTTTGTTGTTTACGGTTTCTTTTATTTTTTATGTATGAGTGCTTTTATTTTATTTTATTTATTTTTTCTTCTTCTTCATCTGTGGTTTATTTATCTATTTATTTATTTATTTATTTGTATGGTTTTCTATCCTTTTTCTCAGGGTTTTAAGGTGTTTTATTGATTCATTTATATTTCATGATTATTATAATTATTGTTAAAATGGTTATGATTATCATAATCATTAATATTGTTTATTATTTATAAACTGATGTATGTGTTACAAGGGCCATGTATTGATGGATAAAAAAAAAAATTCATTTTGTGACGCTAAGACTGAGCGTAGTTTTAGGCAGCTTATTGGTTATATTTCAATAGAGTTCTCCCTCACTATTTGCTTAACAGTGATGAATGATCTTTATTTTCTGTTTACATGGTCCTAGTACTTGATTAACCCAATTCCACCAGGGAAAATGAATAAAAAATGGTGAAAATGCTATGCTCATTTTTCATATCTTTGTGAGTGTCTCTGCACATAGATGGCTCTGCTACTGCTTAGCCACAAAGGAGTCAATTAGTAGACCTTGTGACCTTACGTGATTGGAATTGGCAGGAAAAAATAATTTTTTTACAAACGCTATGAATGTCGGCGGTGTTATTTTTATTATAAACAATATAATTACTATAATGTTATAAACAC